GGTCTAGTATATGTGTATAATGGTATGAATTATTATTGNAATGTGATCATTGAGCAGGGGAAAGCTCTTTTTATTGAGCAATCATTATTATTATTTTTTTTTAGTGTTTGAGGTGTGTTGTTTTTCTTTTAAACTAGAGTATGAAACATAGAGTTCAAAGTAAATAGGAACGAGTGTTTACACAATAACAAATGCATATCCATCGGAAAAAGGAAATTTATTCATTGTCTTAAGAAACAAAATAGTACATCAGCTAGAATTAAATCACCATAACAATTGACCAGAATAAACCAAAAATAGCAAATCTGATGATGGTATCATCGTCTTCTTTACCAACCAATAGCATAGAAGGCTCCCTCGGCGATATCAAGAAACTTCTCCATCATTAATGTCATGATAATCACATTCTTTGAATCCTTGTCGCTATATTTTCCGACCAAATTCTTCACTATGGCGGTGCTGTCGAAAGAGATCATGACATCATAGCTTGCACTCGCTAGGTCTTCCTTGATTCCAGAGGCGGCGTTCTTGAGATTGCCTATAATGGTCGCAAATTCACCTTGACACCTCTCGAACTGCTTCTTCAGGTTTGGATTCTCTGTTGCCGCTTTTGCACTGGCAACCGCAGATTTAGCGGCATAGGATATGCCGAGGTGGAGCACGGCTTGAGAGGCTTGTAACTACAAATTCAAATAATAATAACCTATGATTGAGAATGGGACACTACAATAATCGTAATTACAAAATAGTGATCTTGGTTTGACAATAATTTAATACACTTTTACGGAAGACCATATATTCAGATGAGAATCATAACTTGGAAACTTTAATAGATATTTCATCAAAAAACTAAAACCATTAGATATGTACCAAGGTGGTGGCAGAAGCAGCCGGAGGAAATCCGTTCAAAGTTTGGTTGCAGAAGGCTTTGTCGATGACTGGTTTTTGTTGGCAAATGGCGTCGATGTATTGTGTGGAAGCAGAGGCTAAAGGAATGTGAAACATAATTGCCAGAGAAACGAGGAGAAAACCGTAAGAAGAAGAAAAAAAAGCCATGACCCCTCCTTAATATTCAGATTTTGTTATATTTGTCAATTGTGTGGGTATGCCTTTATATATTACTTTGCACGCTTATTAGATACACTCGTTATACTGTCTCCTCAATTTTAAAATTGGTAATACATTAGAATTAAGTTCAGCTTTTGAATTACATATTTTAACTCTTTATACGGAAAGTAGATATTACATATGGATGTGGTCAATCATTATCCTTTGATTTTAGGGAGAATTTGGTGATTGTCCATAAAATGTAACTTGTATTCAATCAATGACAAATCTACTCAATATAGTTATTGCCATATATATTAATAATATTACCATTCTTTATGATACTTTTTTCTTATAACGAAAACTAAAAACAAAAATAAGAATCAGAAAAAGTGAGATATTATGATAGATTTTTGTTATTTTATATTCTATATATTAAAGTAGAAACAAGGAGACCAATTTTGATAATGTATCACTCCCACAAGTTTTCTCACCTTTTTCATTTCTCATTTATTTAATTTCTCTATGCCTATTACCAAACGAATTTATTTTCAAATATTACTTATTTGACTAAATATTCAAATATTCATTTGCCAAACACATTTGACTATTTCTAAACTTGCAAAAAATAATTATTTCAAAAATTACAATATTACCATTAAATTTGAAAAAAAAATTGAAGTTGATGAAATTTTAAAATTGGTTAAACATTAAAATTTGAAAAGATAAATACAATTAAATATGGAAATTAAATGAATACCATATATAAATTATAGTTTCTGTCCTAAATAAACTATTTTACAAATATTATTTAGTGGTGCAAAGCACCGGGCCTAACC